CCTCCACAGCTGCTCCCCTTCCACCCCCACCATATTCTCCCCCCAAACACCACCGCATCCACTTGCTGCCCCAACGTGCTGCTCCCCAGGCACAGGAGAACCAGCATCTCCTGCAACACTGCCCGGGCAAGGTGCTGCCTGCTTGGCCTGCCAGGGGGACAGGGGGGTCACCGAGGGACTCTGTGGTACCTGTGTACTCAGGGAAGCAAATGGTCAGGGGGCTGTGCACGATCTTCTCCTCGAAGAGGTCCTTCTTGTTGAGGAAGAGGATGATGGACGTGTCTGTGAACCACTTGTTGTTGCAGATGCTGTCGAACAGCTTCATGCTCTCATGCATCCGGTTCTGGCAGGGGAGACAACAGCCTGAGCCAGGCAGGGACCCTCAGGCAGCACCCACCCCACTGCCACCCAACCTGCCCCCCCACTGCTGCTGCCAGCCTGGGCAGGGGATGCCGAGGGCACAGCTTGGCCCAGGGCACTGGTGGCCACCAGAGGAAGGGGTGTACCCTCAGCCCCTCAAAGAGAGGATGGCTCACAGCACCAGCTCCATCGCCCCTGACTCACCATCTCCTCATCCTCAGCCAGCACCAGGTCGTAGGCGCTCAGGGCCACACAGAAAATGATGGCTGTCACCCCCTCGAAGCAGTGGATCCACTTCTTCCTCTCTGAGCGCTGGCCACCCACATCGAACATCCTGCAGCATGGAGGTGGTACGGTGCTGGGCAGCAGCTCCCAGCCCCACTGACCTCACCCCGCTCCCTGCCTCAGTTTCCCCAGCTGCCCAGAGCAGGAGCTGTGCTGGGAAAAGGCACGAGGGTGGGCAGAGCACGGTGCCTCCACCCCAGGGGTTTTGCTGGTGCCACAGATCTGCCCCAGCACCCGCTGTCACCCCAGGGACAGGGCAGAGTCTGGGCTTATTTCCCAGCTGGAGCAAATTCCCATCGTGAGCCAGGACAGGATCAGGCTGCCTTTCCCACAGGGTGTCAATGTGATGTTCCCCAGAGCCAGGCCCCAGGAGATGCTCTAGGAGACCCT